TAACACCTGTAGGGTTCTTGAACGGTGACATGTGTTTGTTGCTTTTTTAGTTCCTGTTCCATTCGCCTGGTAATCATGCGGGTTTGTCTTTGTTCCTTAGCTTCTTGTACCTCTGAGGAAGTTGATCCACCCTTGTTGATGCTTGAGTGATTTGCTGTCTATCATGTCCTTCTTGTTCTCTTTCTCTGGGTCTAGTGGGCGGGGGGGATGTCTAGCCTTCAATATGTTAGTGTAGAAATCTTGGGCCTTCCATACTGAAGGGAGATTTACTTTCTGGCACAAATAGTTTCTATTTTATAATGTAGAGATTAAAGACACATTAGAGTCCCCAGTTGCTATGGGACTTTTGTAAAGAAGTAGAGCATAAATGAACTGACAATTTCTCCAAATGTCTCTAAAAATTGTCTGTCCAACACTCTATCAATCTTTGTTACTACATGACACAGCCCTAGAGGAGGATTTAATAAATTTAGTAATAATTTACAAAATTGATATACCACTCAATTCTCAGTGTCCCTAGCTGGCTCACAACAATAAAGAAAATTACAATTAAATCAACCACAGCTAAAAGATTAAAAGATGACAAACTCAGTGATATGAGGGGGCTCACTCTCTCTCATCAAAGATCTGGGTGAAGAGCCAGATATTTTTGGCTCTTTTTATATATTTATGATTTTTTTTTCTTTAACATCCAAAAATGCATGGTAATAGTGTATTGACAAGATCAATATAATTTACATACAATTCTGATAATGATATTACCTTTTAAATATACACAATCATAATCTTTCAACTTCTAACATTCTTTGTGTATACATAGTAATTATAATATGTTCTATAATATTTCAATATTTTTTCCAACTAACTTAATGTAATAACCACCATGTTAAAAAATTATTCTATATCTATGCATCATCCCTTGCCCTTTTTAGAATTTCAACTCTTATTAACTTCCTGGTGAATTTTTCATGCTTTTCCTCTGGTATTCTGTAACTCTTTTTATTAAACTGACAAGAACAGATACTACACTTGATTTCAGCCAAAAGGCCGGATAACTTCTCTGTAACTCCTTTTATCATGTTTATTTAATCTAAATATTTCATCTGTCACCACTTCTATCTCTTGCTGTTGAATCTCTAGAGCACCCAAACATAGTTGCCCTATCATTTTTAGGAGTTTTCTTTTTATTCTATTTTCTATTTGAATTCTTAAAATATATTATATTTGTTCCATGTTAGAAATTATTGCTATCTCTTTCATCTCTTTGTCTGCTTGTATCAATTTTGGATTTATCTCCTCTATTCTTTCCTCAGCTCTTTCTCCTCAATTTTCTCCTCAATTTTCTGAATTTTTTGTTCATTTTTTATTGTCATTTCCTGAGGGTTTTCTAGTCTTATACCTGTATTCTGCATCAATTCCATCATTTACCTATGATTCCTTGTCATATCTTACTTAATACATTGAAACATTAATAATATTTCTTTATAAACAGAATTTGTTTTCCCATGTTGAAACATTTTATGCTGATATACTAAACTAATCACTGCTGAACCCGGAAGTGTCACGGCGAGAATGGCTAGGAAAATAGCGAGCTCTGTGGAACTATGCGAAAACCCAGCCGGCAAACTGTCTTCAAGAGGTCCCTTGTGGAGGGTGTGGTCCTTTTCTACTATTGGACTTCATTTTGTTTATGGCTTAGGAAGAAAATAAAGGATCTTTGAAGTGGACTGGATTATTTTGGGACCTGGTATTAAAGAGTGAAAATAAGAAGAGGGACTGAATTAATTGTGGTAAAACATAAAGATACTAAAAGTATGTTAAATCTGATCATGGAGAGTGGGATGTTCAAGGAATTGTTGGAAATGTTAAAAAATGCATGAGCAACATTAAAAAGTAATAAAGAACCAGAAAAGGAGCCAGAAAAATTGTTGAAACAGTAGATAGGAGAGGAACAGACAAGAAATGCAAATGAACAAAAAACTAACAAGGTAGAAAAAGAAATGAAAAACAAAACTCAGTGGGACAATGCTATTGAGATTTGTAGAGGCACAGAAAGAGTAGAGTGGAAAAAAGGAAAATGGTATCAAAAAAAAATTAGCCAAAAATAAAGAGAGAAACAATGGGAAGTGGAAAAGGAAAACTTGGGGGAGAGCCATTCAAACAATCTATCGAAAAGTGGTAGAAAAAAATTCAGAAGATATAAGACATATAAAAAGAAGAAAAAGAGAAAAGAAAATCTAGGAATTGGAGATTAGTAGAATGAAATTAGTAGAATGGAATGAAATATTTTAAACCTGGCAATAGTATCTACCTAATTAAGATGTGTGTGAGCTATATTAATACTTTTAAGTGTGCAAAGTAATTATGTTAAATGCTTACTATATAAAAAACTGAATTTGAAGGCATATGTTACTTGAAGAAAATAGATGGAAAGGGAATGATAAATTTGGTTTATCTTTAAAGGGAAGAAAAAACAATAGTTTATGTATATAATAAAAATTAAAAGTTGGAAAATATGAGAAGAAAAGTAACACGGCAAAAAGTGGAAATGGAAATATAATGTAAAATGAATTATGTATATGTGACAATTTTAAAGGGGAAATCCAGACAACACTCTGTTCATAAAATAATTATTAATTATGTTAACAAAAATTTCTCTAAATTTATAATCCTTAAATTTTTCCAGTTTCCATCCTTAAATTTTTCCAGCACCCTCTAAGTTTTCCAAATTTTTAAATCTTGTTTGTCTTCTTTCTTCTTGTAGACTGTTCTGTCAAATGATTTTAATAATCCAAATTGGCCCACCAAATTTCCCCAAATGCCTTTAGTCCACAAAGGCAGATGTTCAGTTTCAAGGATGTTTCTTGTTACTAGTAATCCACTTGCTTTAAAAATCTTCAAACGACTCACTAATACTTCTAACCAGCCAAAACTCCAGTAGATATGAAACCAAAATAAAAATGTTGCTTTCCTTTCACTATTCTCTTTTTTCTCCTCTTTGTTGTTCTTGCATTATCAAATAATATCAAATAAATCTTACTTTCCAAGATTATTCCCACATGTACTTATAAAGTATCCTCTTTGACTAATAAGTGGCACCCGCACTCTAAAATCCAGCATCAAACACAAAAAAACACAAAAAGAAAAGCATCATCTTTCATTACATCTTGTAGAAAGCGTATCCATTGGTCACAGGTATATTTCGTGCGTTCTGTCCACAATNAATGTTAATAGCACTTATAAGAATGTATAATTGTGAATGTATCTGAATGGGAAAAATAAAAAACTTTTTCAAAAAAATGTAATGCTAAATATAATGTGCATATGTTAAATATTAAATATAACAATGAGTCTGAATGAAAAGTAATGCCTCAAAACTAGAAATTCTGACAAATTCCTTGGCATCTGGTCTTTCCTTTCAGTTGGTGGAAATTGCTATGAAAAATAGTGATATTGTTATTGTTTGTGAAACAGAAGGCTCAAATGAGCATTTGTCATAGCATTTTAAGCAACATGCTTTAATTGAATGTTTGACTACTAAAGGGGTTTTCCAACTGAAATTCAATTCCAAACTCTTATGGCAGTGACAGTAAGTGACATAAAAACTGCATAATAACTGGACCAAAAAATGTAAAAATGGTAAACTGGGTAAAAGTGATTTGCTTGAACAACAGCACAACTTGAACTAAATAAATAAAGAATTTCATATAAGAAATGTAGATAAACTGACAAATAGTCAACAGACCCTCAAAGAGGAATTGCTATCAAACATGACATTTTACAGGAACACATTGGTCATGTTATTGATTTCTTCAATATCAGAAGATTGTGCAAGATGGGTTCTTTTCATGCTTGATGGCAAAGATGAAATTTGCCAGCAACATTTACCATTCTATAAGAATAAAGTTGAGAATTTCAAAAATTTTACAACATTGTAACAGCTGATCAAATATAGGTTCATAATTATGACCCAAAAACACATTGTCAATCAAAGTAGTATCAGGAAAAATTTCACTTATGAAGAAAAAAAATTCAAGATCAAAGTTTGGATCAAAAAAATCATGGTTATCTATTGTGGAAGATGTAAATGATATTTACATGATCATATAGGTTTCTTGGGGCATGTGACTAACATCCAAAACATCAATTAAAGAGTTAGAAGTACAAGAAGGAAATTTTATTCCAATATTTTGCATACAATGTTATGAGCCATACAAGAAGCAATTGAAAATGCTATATTTTCTCAATATTGAAGAAATATTTTTATTAGCATCTTTTTTTTAACTCAAAGAGGTAGAAAGGTCTATCAAGACCAAGTTGGAGGGATAGGACATGAATTTTTTTGCAGTGGCTTTAAGATGCTCATCCATCATTAACAAAAGTGTGTAACAAATGGTGGGATTATATAGATAAATAAATACAGATAACTAAACAGCTGATATCAAGGATTATTTTTCTGTTAAATTTATTAAAATATCCTAATTTATTTATAAAATTGATATGGTCGCCCATCTCACAAGTTACTCTAATAAATAAAATAGTATTTGTCTCACATGCAATATTTATTTCTCTCTAGGTAGAAAATATCAACTTAACTAAATAAAGACCACTTTTCAAAACTGTTTTTGAATCATACAAAAATGTATATAGACTTATGAAAATAGTTTGAAGTCACAGCTGGCATAAAATAAAAGCAAAAGCATTCCTTAAACTCTGGGAAGGCTTGGGAAAAAACTTAGATTGGATGAAAGGTAATGTAAACCATAAGCAGACATGCAAGATTTATATTACTATAGCCTATCTCAATAAAAGTTAGTTCCACTCTTTCTGTTATTTCCTGATCTGGGTCTACCTAGGCTGGAGTATCTTTTGTTGTCTATAAATTCTGCTTCTTTTCAAAGGTGATATTACATAGATACATGATATGAAGATAATAAACAACAAAATAAATTCATGAATGGGGGAGAAAACATATTATATTTAAATAGTTAAATTCTTACAAAGCAAATTCTTCCCTCAGTCTTCGACGATATTGCTTCTTTGGTTTCATGGTATTGAAATATGCCAATTTTATAACATCAGGCCATACTGCAGGACAAGGACTCCCACATATGCGGCTGTGTAAAAACAATATATGTCATAAAATTAACAAGTACCACAAAGGTTACTGCATCAAACATGGATTTAATTAAAACAATGCCACTCAAATCTACACGATTAAAGATACTTTAAAAGACCAAATAAATTTTAAATTGTAAGAATATCCCATCAGAAGAGAAATTTTGTTTGCCCAATAAAACTACATAGCTTGTTGGGTACAATATTTTATTTTCATTAAAAAGTACTGCAACAGAAAGGAGACAAAAATTGTAAGAACTACTTAAAAAGCACATTAAATTTTCTGAGTTGAAACCTATAATTACAGTGTATTGCAACTCTAGTTCCTCACTTTTTAAACAATTACTTGTTTGCATAAAGTTCTTTTTATTTTTTTAAAATACGGCAAAATATATATTTTAATTGTATGGAGATAAATAATTGCAGATTATTTGCTGAAAAGTAGTTTTTTAGAGACCTATCATATACTGACCTTATCAATTCCAGTTGAGCAAGTTCTTGATTTGCTTGAAAAATTGGCTTTTTAGTAAAAAGTTCACCCAGGATACATCTACAAAAAGAGAGCAAATAATTTTTTTTATTGAACATTTTGCTTCCCATTATTAAATCCATTTGTACCATTTTTTGAAATTTGTATGCTTGCATTTTAATACTT